TTGCACGCGATTCCCCTGAGAGCCACCTTGCGGAAAGCAAGCAACCAGTTCTTGACTAAAAGCTCTGCCAATCAACAAAAGTTCAGAACAGCAATATCACAAAGTTAAATATGATAGATGATACCGAAAGTGAAAATAAATACATGCAAATAAACATAGGCTATTTTAAGCATCCATCAATTTATCTTATATGAGAAGCGCTCAATTCATTCACCTTGCTAAAAGCACACAGCTGTGGAATGGTAAGCAACCTTAGCTCGCAAGAGAAAGTACTTCCATGAGTGATAAATTAATCAATTATTCAAAGATAAGATAAATATCATGAATAGCAACTACCAACATCAAAAATACTGCAATTAATGCGGGATAACGAACACACTATGATCAACGTTTGGGATAATCAACATAACAATACCTAAAATGGGAGCACGATTAGGAAGTTGCCATCGCAATTACGTTGGGACACAGTATCAGCTGATGAGTAGTTCAACGTGATCAGCTGCACATTTCATAGAAAGCTGCCTTGCTAATTCATATAAACACACCAATGAAAGGACTGATTAAACGAAAACTGCGCAACAAAATATTTTTCTACATAGTGGTTCATTTAATAAAAGATATCCGCGAAGAAAACAAGAAATGAACACACAGACCTATGCGCGCTACAAAAAATTTTGGTGAGCAGAATCTAATTGGCAATAGGTATTAATTACTGACGAGGAGGTGGAAAGATGTAGAATTCAGGAAAGCATACAGGGCGAAGGAAGGGGCACTAAGTACATGCATACAATTTGAAAAGAACTGGAAGTCTGGAAATGCGATACAAGAGGTTTCAACAAATAGATGTTCTACTAGAGACACTACGCAAAAGTAAATCCTGTTTATGTCATTCAAAGCATTAAGTTTTAACCCATGTTAACTGTTCCTATTTATGCAGGCAGGCACATGACAGAGCAACTGTAAGCCCAGAATTTGTGGAATTATGCTTGTGAAGATAAGTCTGCAATACACAGCTACTTTAGAATGTTTCTGATGTAACAGATATGGAGTAGATACTCCCGAAAACCTTTCAACCAATGAAATTACGCTAGACGCAGGCATGTATTGTAGGTTTTACTGCACAATAGAACAGTAACGTGCTTAAGCAGACCCAAAAGCATCAAGGAGCAAAGTTCAGGCTGGATGAAGTCATGCAGAATATTTGCGGCACAATTCCATATCGTATGGGTAATATATAGCAAAATACATCATCAGATAGATATATATAATTTTTGTTCAATGAGGGCCAAAATCGTGTAATGTCAATTTCTAAGATGGAGTTCCGGCCACGAAGAATATGGATTTTCCAGATTAATGGCTAGAAATATACGAACAAATAGAAACTTTTAAAACATTAGGCTACAGGCTCAGAATATAATTATTTTACCGTTGAAAAATCTGGGTGTCTACGGCCACTGAATCAGAGAACCTTGTAAGTATAAGATTCTCGTAGCACCTTAATGTCATGCGCATGTTTTCAATTAAATAGGCAAACAGATAACTCAAGCAATGCACAATTTGACGCTTTCAATAAATTAAATACATATTATAAAATGAATAAATGGCAAAGAATAAAGGAGTAAATGGCTGAGACGATGGTCTCACGGTAAAGCTCCGACCACGAAGCGATGGTCACAAATACAGATCTGGTGCTAGTGACGCAATACAAACACCGAGAGAGGTATTCTTGGAGTGGTGGGGTGGGTAGTCAATGGTGACATTTCTAACACAGATGCCGTGTGACACTGCTGATTCAGCCATTTGTAACGCCAAGTCATTTAGGGCAAAACCACTGTGTTGAGAAACAAGCATTAATGATCGCCTTACTGTCCTAAAGTCACATGCATGCAGCCCGGGAAAAATGACAGCTGCTGAGAAAGTGTACTGGGGAAGGATGCACACATACAAACGCCTTAGTCATCTCTCGGTATATGCAACCATGTTCTCCTTTCCGCTTAGAACGTGATTCTACAGCACCGATTCATCACTGACTGAACATGCTGGTGCAATAAAAAATCAGACGATAGAGTAACTCCAAAATACATCACGTCATATTTGGCTGGCCAGCAATTTCGAGGGTCTGTGACAAGAGATCTAGAAGTGCCTGGTTTTGCGTGCTGCGCATTACGCAGAGCCATTCTTTGATTTCACCTGAATAAAGGAAAAGGATGAGCTCATTAGAAGTTAACTAACTGTAGATGGCAGATATGTCGTTTGTGCAAGTATCCAAATTTTTAGGTGTCCTAAGGGAACTCAAAACGACAGTGTCATTAGCATTTTTAACACATTTGAGCGCAGCATTAGCGATGCAGTCATGAGTAAAAATGTGGAACAACAAGACTGAACTGATCGAGAACAGCAAGACACTCAATTTTTCAAAAATTAAAAATAAACACTTCGAAGAACAGATGGATATGGCACAAGATCCAATAGTTTGCTTGGACATTGCGAAGAATAAGTTGTTACACTGGTCAGCAAAGTAAAAGGAGATACATGCATCCATTGCAGGCGCTAAGATGCTACGCAGCAAGGAGTAATGCTGCAACTCCGTGAAAACTAGTGGAATTATCTTTATTAACTAATTACATGCTTTGAAGTTAATGATAGCTTAAGCTTTAGCCATCGGCTGCTCGTCAGCGAAATTTGCACGAGACTTGCAAGCCAACAAAAAAAAGCAGTCTTTCCACTTACCACTTCCTTTCGATGTTGACGCTCCAAATCTGCCTGACAGACAAACGCTTGACTTTCGTTGCCGTCATCCTGCAGTAATGAAATGATTAAAGATTCAAAACAAAAGAAAAATAACATACCATATTAGAGAGAACTTTCCACTTGGCCGGGAAAGAATTTCGGACGAAAAAAACATCGCCAAAGAAAACTGACTGCCCTAAACGAAGTGGAGACTTGATATAATAACAACATCTGAGGCAATAACATGAAAGTGATAAAAAGATTATTTAAAAGCACCATAGAAAAAACGAAACACCTATGCAGGCTGAGTTTCGTAGCTCATAAAATATTAAGTGGATGCTTCGATGAGAAATTCTATAGATAAAAGAACATAAATTATAGTATTACAATGATGTTTGTCATCGTCATCTGGAGAGCGGCAGCTCAACCGCTCTGGGTATCCCGCATTAATACTGTCCGACTATAAGCAAATCTGAAAAATCAGAATGCTGTCAGTACTAAACTATTCTGCTAGTCAATTCAATCATTTTTCAGTATTCTGTTAGCCTGAAAGACAAACCAGTCAACCGCAGAAACTTGAAACTCGGTATTTTGAATAGCCTTTTCCAGCGTGTATCTAATTTGCGCCGTTAGGCTGTAATCAGTTTTTTGTTAATCATTTCACAAAAGTTCCAAGATTCCCACCAAAAGAGTATAATTCGAACGTGTAAGTAAAAATTACGCAATGCAGTCATTGCTTCTTAAATTTCTAATTATACCTCAGTTATAATTACTAAGATATCAACACGTCCCTTATTTACTTGAAAATGAATTCCGCTACCTAAAAGAACACTAGATGAAGCAATTTGAACACTTTTTCGCATTATCTCAACTACTGCTTTCGCGCATATTTAACATGCAAATCACAGCGATAAACCGTATTACATTTATTCAAATCAAAAGCTACGGCAATCGTATCAAAATCCCCTACTCTAACGCCTTTTACTCTTCATGACATTTTATGGTGGCGACTGGCCCAAAAAGAGTACAAACAGTTGTTGCGTTGGGCCGAAGATTCAAGTTTCAATTTTAGTATTAAAGTTTCCAAATTAAACCAGAAGAATTCGCAATATTCAGCAGAAGCTTATTTTAATTACCTTTGTCAAGTTACCTGCTGCTCTGCAGTCTGACAGGATTTAAATTAAGACTATCTTACGGGCAATTTGGCGTCTGTCTCCGTGACCCATAAGGAAAAGCTATGGTCTAAATTGAGTGACTGACCATATGAAGATTCGTCCACCGGTGCCAATGCGGGATTTTTCATGGCTACCGTTTAACCATCAGGCAATTTCAAAAAATGCTGACATCACGAAAAAGCGCTTTTTAAGTCATTCACTTTTGTCTCTGCTACACAGTGTCAAAAATATTCGGAATACACAGAAGCGAGATAACAAATCTGGAAAAACAATTTTCTGTAACTTCGGCGTCTTTTGCACGTTCCGGATGATAACGTTATGAATGTTCGCTGACGGCCATAATAATTTTATACGGAAACTGAAGTTATTTTCTTTACTCAAGCAAAGAATTAAATTGGAGGGTACAGTGGACACTGGGTTGTTACGTTGCCTTGCATGCCAGTGACAGTTAAAACCCAGCTTGCACCGTAAAATTCTCGTTTACTAATTGCTAATTTCCTTGAGCCAATACCAAAGGAATTTATTGCACGCTGAATCGATTTAGCCAGTCACTGACCGGCGAATATTATTGACAGCATAGTGCTTTCGTGTGATCATGCCACATGCCAAAGCGTGCGAAACATACGGCCATGCTGTCCTTAGCGTGCGCTTTGCAGATGCTTGATTGATCACAGATGAGATGACTGATTACCTCATCCTTTACAGATGAGATTACTGATTACCTGATAATGGACAAAGGCATGATTAGGCAAATTCATATTTTAAAATTAAAGGAAGTACGCAAATATAAAAGTAGACGAAACTGGTGTTGAAATTATTCCATGCAAACCAGTGGAATCCTATTCGCTAAGCAATAGAACGAAGTAATATTGAATTACAACAATACCTAAGCCAAACTGCAGCCAAATACAAAAAAACTTGATAATGGAGAAAATACTGTTGAATATAACAGATTATCAAAAACGCGTCGCTGCACAAGGGTGCCAAGAAACTACGCTGTCGTATCCTGTTAAAATGAACTTTATTCAACAGGCCACCTAAAAAGGGGCCCGAAATACTGGCAAGCAAAAATTGTATTTAGCGGCAATATTCGACATAAAGCACCTTCTAAATGAGTAAACTGTCATAACCGCAAAAAAATTAAAAAATCTGGCATAACAAGTCGCTGTAAAACCTACTTGCCTTTATACGAACTGCAACAACGCACACTAACGCCTGAACCGCTCGCACAATTTGAAAATGCTGTAAAGATCTCATTCTCAATCTGGCGATTCAGTGAACTTGCAAACTATTGAAATATACCGTATAACCATTCGTTAAAACATAATATTCATTTGCGGCAAATGAGGGCAATACTCAAAAGTCAGTACAAACTTCAGCCATCCAAAAACAGTACTATTCATTTATATCAATAAACTTTATTTCATAATTGGCGCTGCTTTAACGCCAGTGCTGGGGCTTCCTCCCGTCGGTATTTCCTATTCCGACTGTGCTATTCATCGCTGTAAATAGTTTATTTTCTTGTCCGTTTCATGTCGTTTGATTATTCTTTTTATGTTTTTAACTGTGTTCTATCTCTCAAACTTCAACCATGCATCAAGCATTGTTTATTTGTTTGCCCTTTGTCATTGCTTCAGACTCTATTTGGTTAACGCATTATATGGCGGTCGATTATTGTTCTGATTGGCATGGTTCTGAGAGCTCAAGCTTTGATCACCTTAAAAACTGAAAAACGTATGAAAGCTGTTTGTTCATAGACAACACAAGCGAACAGGCCAGTCGAGTGATTAATGAGCACTGACGTTTTGGATCATCTTTCGAGACGTTCTTCAAAGTAATACGATTTGAATTTCGACGTCTGTTCTGCTGTCCGCAGCTGTTCCAAATTAGTTCCAAAAGTTTGCACTGGAAAATCATTCACCTGACCAATTT